TTTACAAAATTTTTCTCCGAGGCACCGTTAACGAGTTATTAACGAAAAACAGTGACCAATAAGATTCGAGTACGACTGACGCGAGGCGGCCCAGTCATCCAGCGCACGAAGCCCAGTTCCACTCGTTGGCTCGGTCGCCTCGCGCCACTCGGTCGCCTCGCGCCAGCGAGCTGGGATTCGACCGCCTCGACCGCTGGCGCCGTTGGCTCGGCCGGCTCGCGCCAGTTGAGCTGGGATTCGACCGCTCGACCGCTGGCGCCGTTGGCTCGGCCACCTCGCGGCAGCTGATCTCGCCTCTCACTGGTCACTGTTTTTCGTTAATAACTCGTTAACGGTGCCTCGGAGAAAATTTTCGTAAAAGAAGAAGTTGCTTTAAATGATCCGAGGAACCCACCATTTCCGGATTGCGAGACATTTTTGGGACACCCTGTAGTCGTTGCTACGTTTGCTACTCGTGTCATTGGTTACGAACGTAGATCTCGCGTTCCGACGGAACGAGTATTCTTTCGAACGAGTTTTAGAGGCTTCATGGAAAAGGAATTGTCCCGGCAGAAATGATGAAAGAGTGGAGATTTTACGACGAAAATGATCATTGTAAAGATCTTCGTGCAAGATCGAAACGGCCGCTGTTTTGCGAGTTCGAGAAGCAACGGTCGAGGATAACACGAGAGAAGCAGGAGCATAGTCTTAGTTTGCCCGTTTTACAAAACGTTTCAACGAAATCGTTCGCGACACCGTGAAAGTACCGATCGTGGGGGTAGTTTGAGCACTGGTGGACTGTGGATATGTTTTGTGCCGCAGATGTACATGCAGGAGCTCACCAAGCAGCGCGAGATGCTCTACACCGTCGAGCTGGTATGTCTCGTACCCAATCTAGTTTAATAAGACAACCTCACTAAACGGGTAACCGTGTCCAGCGAACCTTAAACTGCTTGCGCCGAACCCCTGTCCCGTTGACGATCACTAGATTCGCTGTCCCTCGATCGAACCGTCCTCCCAAAGTCACAAGACCAACACTCGTTGTTTTATCTTGCCACACGATCAATGGCGTCTATCGATCGACGATGGATCTAATTATCGACAACAGGATGGGGCGAGACAGAGACAGTTCAAAGTTGCCACGATCAGCGAGGCTATCGCGTCGAAGTCGATCTCTCGTCGAAGACGTAACATTCTCGTCGATCTTCGACGAACGATAGCGTACTCTGCTGATTTTAATACCTTCGTCGACTCGTTGGCTGCCGATTGAAGCGTGTTCATCGAGTTTCCAGACCGACATTTGGTTTTCGGAAATGTTCCATCGGACCTGTTGCATCGCTTTCCGAATCGACGTCGAAATTCGTTATTAGTCCTTGGACGACATTTTTGAGTACTTATTACAGCCATGGCTGGGTCCAAATCTTTACGATTGATATTCGTTTGTATATGTTTAAAACTGTGTTTTATTTAGATCCAAGTTAACCCTTTGCAGTCGAAGCTATTCTAATTCGAAATTATATGATTCAATGCACTTTATGCATACGAAATCGAGCCTATTGGAAAGTGCGATACTTGCAGTTTTAACAGTTTTTTTTTTAATATGACAACAATATAGAACGATTATTGCGAAAAATGGTATAACAATTTTTATTGGCTTCTCAGACTTGCCGCTCGAGTGCAAAGGGTTAATCCTTTTATTCGACTCAATATCAATAGCTGATAATTACAAATGACTGCCACACAAAATTAGGATTTAGATAAAATCTTTGTAACGCCGGGTCAAAATGGACCCGACGCCCGCGAATCGAGGGTTAATCGATTTGTCTGTTCGATTCAAGTCGAAATCTTTTCCGACAACTCAGCGAACGAGGGACGCGATGAATATACAGGGCGACAGCTTGGCAATCGGCAGCGTGCGAGTGTTCGATCAGACAAAGCTCTAACACAACGTACAATTCGATGATTCTCACAATCGGATTTCGCACTGATAACAATTATTCGAAGGAGGTTGTCCTCGTGACTTCCTCGAGCAGCTTCAGCCACATTAACATCCGCTTTTCGAGATATCCACGTTCACTAACCAGTAACCGCGCGGTGACAATACATGTTCGTGACCAGTCATATATATGCATCGTAGGCGTTTCATCTCGCTTCGTTCACACCGATCAAAGTGTCTCACGTAATTAACGTTCGAAATCTCGCCGCACAAACTAGTTTGGACGAAGTTCTTCTGTCATTCGACGAGCCTTGTCATCCCAGTCGGTCATTCCTGTCTTCGTTGACTCTATGTCTTTCATGTTTATAATTATGTACAGGGTGTCCCAGGTTTTAATGTTGAAACTTTGTTAGTGTATTCTATGGCACAATGTAAGAAAAAATGTTATGTAAACATAGGTCATATAGAGCTTTATTAAGAAGTTATAACAAAAATTCAGAATATAGGAATAGTATCAACTTGCTGTTACTGCGAGCATTGGCTTGAATAGATCAGCACATGCCGTGTGTTTATGTAAGCTGTGTTTATTAATACATTTCGAAACGTATTAATAACCGTTGTTGACAATACATGATTGACATCGCGATCGAAGATTTTTTTTTACTTTATATTTTCTTTTAGTTGATTACTATCCCTATTCTGAATTTTTGTTATAACTTCTTAATAAAGCTCTATATGACCTATGTTTACATAACATTTTTTTCATACTTTGTGCGATAGAATATACTGACAAAGTTTGAACATTAAAACCTGGGACACCCTGTATATTTATCGAATGATATTAAATTAAAATTAAAATTAAATCTGAGAGCATCTAACGAGCTCGTTAAACAATGGAGCCGTTTACCGTGGGGCAACCTTTGTCTTTGCTTCGTCTTCGGGCAAGACGCATTACATTTTTTTCTTTAACAATGGACAAAATAAAAGAATACAAAAATGTAATCATCTTCTCGCAATAAAGGCACAGCAATTGGTCAACCCCACAGTGACCGGCTACGCTATAGAGCGAAAGAAGATAAACAGATGAAATGCTTCCTAACTTTATTAACTTATCGCCTAAAAAAAAATAAGTTTCGCCACTTGGGTGACAGCCTCGGAAAAATTTGCAAGACAGTGCCTCGAATCGAGCATACCGAACGCGGGAAAAGCGACGGTAACCCGTTCACCGACTCGTAACGATCGCTGCTAGCCGACACATAATCGAGGAGTGTGGTTGGGTAACAGTTTGCACGATACTTTCTGACCGAAGGAGAAACGAACAGATCTTGGACGAGTTTACTACATTGCATCCGTGTATAGATCACTGCCATGCGTAGCTTCCTGAGAAGTAATATTTGGGACGGTTGTAGAGTTTGCCGTAGCCCGTGCGTGTCAAAAGTTGTGCTTTCGAACGAGTTGTCACGAGACCTATTTTGTCAATGCTGCATGAACGCGTACACGGCTCGCGTATTCGCCCCGTTCATTTCCTTTCGTTGGGTGTACCGCAGGAGAGAGAGAGAAGGAGACAGCACATGGCGTTGGTGCGAGCGCTGGAGAACCGCCGGAAGATGGAGGAGAGAGAGAAGAAGCGTCTCGAGGCGAGGGCCGAAAGAATAGCGTCGAAAGAGAAGCGCGCCGAGCAAAGGAAGATGGAGATGGAGCTGATCGAACAGATCAGGAAACCTGTCGAGGACATGGAGCTGACAGGTACACGCTTGCACCGAGTCGTTCGAGTTCACCGAGGTCGACTCTGCAACTAATTTTTATCTATTGATTCATTCATCTATTTATATATTCCGGTAGACATTCATTTTTACGATAAAGAATAGAAAGCAATATTAATATTAATTAGGAGTACCCACGTGGAAGTCTAGTTCTAGGAGTAACCACGTGGGAGACCTAGTGCCAAGGGTGCTCAAGTGGGAGGAGTACGCACGTGGAGGTCTGGTAGACTCCTATCATTGACAAATTTTCGTATATTTTAATCAGTACAGTAATGTCTCTCTAATTGTCGCTCAGATTATCCACAAAAGTGGACAATTTGGGAAGAGGAGATACGATTATTCGAGTCTTGCGTCTCGTTTGTAGTTTTGTTGAGAATCGGTAATTATAAAAGCGAGGCGCAAGACTTAAATTAATCGTATCTCCTCTTCTCAAATTGTCCATTTTTGCGGACAATCTAAGCGTCAGTTAGAGAGACATTGCTGTAAATAGTACCTTTTTCATTGGGCTTTTCGTCAGCGTTTCGAGCGAACAGTCTGTATAAACTCGTTTTAAATTTTGCGACATTGGCTGCGCGAGTGTCTGTATTATCGCTATATTGTCAATAACGAATTGAAGTGTCCAGTAAAAAAGGTCAGTCGCATTAAATCTTGATGAATAGAAGGAGATCCTAAAGGGCAATACTGACCTAGTAAATCGAGAAGGAGCATTGAAGTTGACAAAGCCGAGCAACGCTCGGATTATTGCTCACACCATGTGCAACTTTGTACATAAAACATAGGTCTGCTATGATTCTTCAGGACTCCAAAGAACTTAAATTAAGCGAGGACATTAAAGGACCATAGTTGTGATCCGTTCGCGAAAACTGTTGGCCCATTTTAAAGGCGAAGCGATTAAAACGAAGAAGCTTATGCCGAATGCCTCTCGATTTTGTAGGCATTTGTTCTAGTAGAAGGGAACCATATTGTCGAATCTCGAATTGCTCCTGGTTCCAGATCATAGAGCGTTGCCGGAGCTGAAGAGACTGCCGGGGCTCAAGCTGTCCGGTCAAGCCTTCTCGGACATCGTGATGGTGTTCGAGTTTCTGCACAATTTCGGGGAAACCCTGGGCTTCGGTGAGCGATCATTTCCCACCCAATCGCGTCCCTAATCGTTCCGCTTCGTCCCGGAAGTAAAGAATTTGTCTCCCCAGACATGGACTCGCTGCCGAGTCTGAAGAGTCTCCAGCTGGCGTTGCTGAACGACGAGGAAGCCGAGGAAGAGATGCTGTCGGTGATGACGCACCTTCTGGTCTGCGCCATAGAAGATCCCGGCATCCCCCAGCCAGCAAGACACACGACGGGCCTCGGCCAGAGTCTCCGACAGGCTGACATTACGCACGCGAACATCAGCGAGGTGCTACGGATTTATTTGTACGCGAACGCGACCGGCGAGGTGAAGGCATTGACCGGCGTCTGCCTCGAGAGGGAACGCGACAAGAAGTTCGCCGATCATCATCAGAACGGCGGCGACTACGCGTCCACCTGCTCGGGCAAGAACGCTCAGTTCTACGAACATCTACACAACAACGAGACCTGGAGGATGTCCGAGAGGCTGAGGGACAAGCCGTTCCTGGCGCTGAACCCGACGCACAAGGCGCAGATGCTCGCGTTTCTATGCAACGAGCTGCTGCAGAACAAGGCTGTGATCAGGCAGATCGAGGGGAGCTTGGAAACCGTCGCTCAGCTCAGGAAGGAGAGATTCGTCCTGGACACTAAGATCAGAAAGTGAGTGCAACGACTGGACACGAGATCGAGAATACTGTAACTATACCCGAACCTCTGCGAGATAGGTTCGATCCCTACAGGGTGTCCCGAAAATGTCTCGCAATCCGGAAATGGGAGGTTCCTGAAGTCATTTGAAGCAACTTTTTCCTTTGCGAAAATTTTCTCCGAGGCTTCGTTTACGAGTTATTAATAAAAAACACTGACCAATAAGACTGGCGCGGGGCGGCCCAGCCAACCAGTGCGCGGAGCCTGGTTCCGCTCATTGGCTCGGCCGTCTCGTGTCAAATGATCTCGCCTCTGATTGGTCACTGTTTTTCGTTAACAACTCGTAAACGATGCCGCGGATTGCATTTTCGCTAAGGAAAAAGTTGCCTCAAGTGACCTCAGGAATCCCCTACTTTCGGATTGCGAGACATTTTTGGGGCACCCTGTATATAAGTACTTTGGTGGAGGCAAAGGATGTTACAGGATTCTGATCTTCAAGATTATAAAAGGTTTTAAGTCACTTTTCGAAACCTGGAGGTACTAATTTCAGAGTTCGATATCTATTTGTATAGAGTGAATACGTTTCAAGTATGATTATTGAGACATTATTGCTTTTGGGTATCGATCGAAGCCCATGAAACAAAACTTGATCAAATCCCTAGCAACGACAAGGTGCCCGAACCCTATATAAGTACTTTGGCGAAGGAAACTGTTACAGGATTCTGATCTTCAAGATTCAGGTAGTACTTATAAAAGGTTCTAAGTCCCTTTTCGAAACCTGGTGGTACTCATTTCAGAGTTCGATATCTATTTGTATAGAGTAAATACGTTTCAAGTATAATTATTGAGACATTATTGCTTTTGAGTAGCAGTCGAAGCCCATGAAACGAAACTTGATCCCATACCTAGCAAAGACGAGGTGCCCGATCCCAATATAAGTACTTTGGCGAAGGAAACTGTTACAGGATTCTGATCTTCAAGATTCAGGTAGTACTTATAAAAGGTTCTAAGTCCCTTTTCGAAACCTGGTGGTACTCATTTCAGAGTTCGATATCTATTTGTATAGAGTAAATACGTTTCAAGTATAATTATTGAGACATTATTGCTTTTGAGTAGCAGTCGAAGCCCATGAAACGAAACTTGATCCCATACCTAGCAAAGACGAGGTGCCCGATCCCAATATAAGTACTTTGGCGAAGGAAACTGTTACAGGATTCTGATCTTCAAGATTCAGGTAGTACTTATAAAAGGTTCTAAGTCCCTTTTCGAAACCTGGTGGTACTCATTTCAGAGTTCGATATCTATTTGTATAGAGTAAATACGTTTCAAGTATAATTATTGAGACATTATTGCTTTTGAGTAGCGGTCGAAGCCCATGAAACGAAACTTGATCCCATACCTAGCAAAGACAAGGTGCCCGATCCCAATATAAGTACTTTGGCGAAGGAAACTGTTACAGGATTCTGATCTTCAAGATTCAGGTAGTACTTATAAAAGGTTCTAAGTTCCTTTTCGAAACCTGGTGGTACTCATTTCAGAGTTCAATATCTATTTGTATAGTGTGAATACGTTTGAAGTATAATTATTGAGACATTATTGCTTTTGAGTAGCGGTCGAAGCCCATGAAACGAAACTTGATCCCATACCTAGCAAAGACAAGGTGCCCGATCCCAATATAAGTACTTTGGCGAAGGAAACTGTTACAGGATTCTGATCTTCAAGATTCAGGTAGTACTTATAAAAGGTTCTAAGTTCCTTTTCGAAACCTGGTGGTACTCATTTCAGAGTTCAATATCTATTTGTATAGTGTGAATACGTTTGAAGTATAATTATTGAGACATTATTGCTTTTGAGTAGCGGTCGAAGCCCATGAAACGAAACTTGATCCCATACCTAGCAAAGACAAGGTGCCCGATCCCAATATAAGTACTTTGGCGAAGGAAACTGTTACAGGATTCTGATCTTCAAGATTCAGGTAGTACTTATAAAAGGTTCTAAGTCCCTTTTCGAAACCTGGTGGTACTCATTTCAGAGTTCGATATCTATTTGTATAGAGTGAATACGTTTCAAGTATAATTATTGAGACATTATTGCTTTTGGGTATCGATCGAAGCCCATGAAACAAAACTTGATCCCATCCCTTGCAACGACAAGGTGCTCGTACCCTATATGAGTACTTTGGCGAAGGCAACTGTTACAGGATTCTGATCTTCAAGATTCGGGTAGTACTTGTAAAAGGTTCTAAATCCCTTTTCGAAACCTGGAGGTCCTCATTTCAGAGTTCGATACCTATTTGTATAGAGTGAATACGTTTCAAGTATAATTATTGAGACATTATTGCTTTTGGGTATCGATCGAAGCCCATGAAACGAAACTTGAACCCATCCCTACCAACAAGTTGAAATAGACCTAGCCAGGTCCTCTGGGCGAAGCTGAACTTTTGGTCTGTGTCCACAGGCTCAGACAACTGCATAGCCGAAAGGTGAGGATGGAGGCAGTTGGCGTGATCGTGAACAAGACAGGGGACACGATCACCATAGAGAAGAAGGAGGTCGACGAGGAAGGGAACTCGACGTCGACGGCAGTGGGAACGACGCCCACGCCCGACGAGAGTCACCACGAGGACGAAGTTGAAGACATGTCGGAGAACGAGAGCGAGGGGACTCAGCCTGAGGAGGTAAGTCTTCGAGATGTTAATGTTTCTAGAATCTGTACTACTGACTCCTGCGCGTTCAAGGAGGAGGACAAGAATTTATCCGGCGAGGAACTCGGCAAGAAGTTGGACAAGCTGCTGAAACAGTCGGAGGAGCAGCTGCAGAAGCTGAACAGCTCGTCGAAGCAGCTCCGGGCGCACATATTCGGCCAGGACAGGTACTGGAGAAGATACTGGGAGCTAGCGTGCGCCGGCGGCATCTTCGTCGAGGCGATGGAGAGCGCGGAGCCGGAGACCTTGGAGCTGCAGGCGGAATTGGATGAAAAGTACAAAAACATGCCGATCGAGGAGAAGCCCAAAGCGAAGCAGGAAGACACCAAAGGGAACTCCGAGAATCGGGAGAACGAGGCGCCGAACGACGTCAAGGAGGAGAAGAAATACAACATGAACGATCAAGAGGAGGACGTCAAGCCGCAGTTGGAGAAAACGAAGCCGGAGGTGGAGGACGTCAACTGCAAGAAGGAACATGTGCAGAATTGCGGCACGGAGAACTTGACGAGTATCAAGGAGGAAAGGAAACACGAGGTGGACGGCATGAGCGACGCGAAAACCAACGTCACGTCCGAGGAGATCAAGCAGGAGACCGAGGTGGTTAATATGGATGTAGACGTCATGGTCGAGGACTCCAAGAAGGAGAACGAGGACATGGACGAGGACATGAAGCCCGTGAAGATGATGGAGGACAAGATCGTAGAAACTATTCCAAATGGCGACAAGTTCAACCATGTTAACAATCTTCATAACGGCAAGGAGCTGAACGGCACTTTCATCTCGAGTAAGCCTCGATCTCGTTTCTTTTGAATTGGGCTAATGGCTTCGGATTCGTTATTAGTATTGTTTATTCGTTTGAGACAATCCTCGCCTTTCAACTTAGAATGACCTCCGGCTTACAACTTTCTTTTTGTTACATACTACTTTAATACATGATACTTAATACTAAATTGCATTGACTTAAACTAAGTTATACTATTTTTCTAGAGAACTATAAATCTATTTAATTCTTCCCATTTTCTCTATATCTACACTTTCTCTTGTAGTATAGTAGTAGTAGTCTATATCTTCACTGTCTCTTTGGTTTTGAACTTGTGACCCTTATATTTCTTTCTTCTCTCTCTTCCTCTCTCTTTTCTTTCTTTCTCCTTCTCTCCCCCTCTCATACCACTCTCATTAGCTCAATTCCTACCCCAGCTACGGATCCGTTACTATTGTTTTCACTTTGAATCATAGGTAACAGCAACGAGTCCAGCTGGTTTTCCATTCTGCCACGCGAAACTTGCGACACGCCCGGACCTAGCACCAAACAGATCTTCGGGATAGCCGAACCGACTGAACTCAGAATACCAGTATTCCCACCCCCGGCTAGCCCGAACTACGACAGGTGCGACAGTCCGGCCCCCCTGATCCTGACCCAAGACGAAGCGGTGCAGCTCGAGTACCTGAAGGTGCACGGTCTGCCGCCTCCCGGAGAAGCCAAGCCTGTACCAAAAGGTAGAACCACCTACAGTAATGTCTCTCTAGTCGACGCCCAGATTGGCCACAAAAATGGACAATTTGGGAAGAGAGGAGATACGATTATTCGAGCCTTGCGGTTTATTGTTATAGTTATAAATTGTCCACAATTATAAAAATGAGCCGCAAGGCTCGAATAATCGTATCTCCCAAATTATCCACTTTAGTGGACAATCTGAGCGTCAGTAAGGGAGACATTGCTGTACTTCTGTTAGCCGAACGACGTAACTCGAACTAACGCTGCGATATCACAATGTTTAGATCTGCGGTACGGCTGGTGGAGAATAACGGACGTCGACACGTTTCAAGAGCTGCTGGAGCATCTCCATTCGCGCGGGGTGCGCGAGAAGGAGTTGAAGCGCACCACGTGGGCGACGATGGAGTCCTTCCTGGCAGTGACAGGCAGGATCAACGTGGACCCTGGTAACCTGACCGCCACCGAACTCCAGGCGACACCCGACGAACCCGACATACTGATCCCGATCCCGAAGCCGGACAATCCGGAGGTTTGGAGCGAGCAGGTCGCGTTGCGGGTGGACGCGCAGCTCTTGGAGCAGGTCGAAGCTCTCGAGGACAAGGTCGCGAACGCCAGCATGCAGGTCAAAGGCTGGAAGCTCCCTCCGCGGGCGGGCACCGAGGAGGCCGAGGAGATCGAGAAGCTGAACGAGATGGAGAAGATCAGCGCCGTCGAGCAGGCACGGCAGAGGTTACTGTCCTTGGAGGCAGCGATAGAAAGGAGATACCTGAAGCCGCCGTTGGGAGTCTGGTAAGGACATTCTCCGATCGACGCTGCGATCTCGCAAGGTGCCCAGAATTTTAGATGAGATTTCGAATGACTCGTGATGTTCTAGCACCGGAGATCCGAATCTGGCAGCCCTGAAGGCGGAACAAGCAGCGGCCGCGAATGCGAACTCGAATAACTCGGATCAGAACAGTCAGACCCCGGTGCCTCAAGAGGAGACAACGCCCAGGGGGTTGAACAACTGGCGCGATGCAACGGCTCGAGCCCACACGTCGGCTCAGCTCGCCATGGCGCTATACATGTTGGAGGCCAGCATCGCTTGGGACAAGAGCATCATGAAGGCTGTGAGTCTAACACCAGCTAGAAACTCGGTCTGCGTCAAGCTACGAAACCGCTGCGTCTCACTCAAAGCTACCAATCAGTACAATCAGCTATTGACTACTTCTCAGGCCTCTGTGGGTATTCGCACTAACTTACTAACCAAGCTATCCTTTATTTCCTTGCGTAAAACTATCGCCCGTCCCGCACACAGTGAACCACAGAGAGCATATCGGTTTTAATTTTGACTAATTGGTTCTCTACAGAGGCTCGTTTGAGGGCTCGTTATGTTGTTCATATTAAACGAAATGCTCTTCGCGTGGCACTTTATTATATTATATATATATCTATATATCTATACATATACATATATTATGTACGTCTCGAATGGTAAAAGGTCTTTCGGCAGTCTATTTGCGGGTGTGAACGATGCGGCAGCTGTTATATATATATATTATCGTTTAGTTCCGTTCAACTTTGATCAATGGGAAATACAAGCGTGCGAGAAATCGTGTGTTGATGATAATGCTCCGACGATTATGAACAGATACGATGATGCGTTAAAATGCATCGGATGGTGGTCAGAGTCTAACGTAACGGTAGCATGCCAAGGAATATGCCGCTTTATATCATCTAGTAATATTTTCCTTTTTAACGCTTCGTATTTTTCCTTCTGCAGAGTTATCCGATTTCGTTGTTTATATTCATTACACCTGTTTCTCCTGTTGTTCCAAGCGAAATGCATATCGAATGCAAACTTTTCGTTCGTTCGAGATATCCGATATGATTTTCACGATGTTGAACCACGGGACCGAGTTGCACGATGAAGATGTATATACAGCATTTAGCATTAGTGATTTTTTTTTAACCGGACACATTTGGGCATCAGCTTTATCCCATTTTAATTCTTCTGTCTCGGTGAATGATCCTTTTCTTTTCAATTAACATTTATTGCATCGATGTAATAGTTTTATTCTTTTGAACGCTTTACCAACAGCGCTTAAACATTTCGAACGTCACACTTTGATTTCATCTAGAAATCATATCATCGAACGCCACGCGAGATAATAAAATGCGAGAGCTTTCTTTTCTGTTACAGAACTGCCAGTTCTGTCATAGCGGAGACAACGAGGATAAGTTGCTATTGTGCGATGGCTGTGACCGTGGCTACCATACTTACTGCTTCCGTCCAAAAATGGAAAACATTCCTGATGGTGACTGGTGAGTATCCACGATTCGATATACAGGGTGTCCCAAAAATGTCTCGTAATCCGGAAATGGCGGGTTCCTCGAATCATTTGAAGCAACTTCTTCCTTTACAAAATTTTTCTACGAGGCACCGTTAACGAGTTATTAACGAAAAACAGTGACCAATAAGAATCGAGTACGGCTGACGCGAGGCGGCCCAGTCAACCAGCGCACGAAGCCCAGTTCCGCTCATTGGCTCGGTCGCCTCGCGCCAGCTGAGCTGGGATTCGACCGTCTCGACCCGCTGGCGCCGTTGGCTCGACCGGCTCGCGCCAGCTGAGCTGAGATTCGACCGCTCGACCGCTGGCGCCGTTGGCTCGGCCGGCTCGCGGCAGCTGATCTCGCCTCTCATTGATCACCGTTTTTCGTTAATAACTCGTTAACGGTGCCTCGGAGTAAATTGTTGTAAAGGAAAAAGTTGCTTCAAATGACTCAAGGAACCCGCCACTTTCGGATTGCGAGACATTTTTGGGACACCCTGTATGTATTCGACGAATAATCTAAACTGCAATCTTATATCGAAAATGTACTTTAATTTTCCATGGAATTTATCCAGCGTCGTATTTTCCACTGATAGATCGCTTCGATTGTTTTCAGGTATTGTCACGAGTGCATGAACAAAGCTACAGGTGAGCGGAATTGTTTGGTGTGCGGGAAGAGGGTTGGTAAAAACTTGGTGCTGTGCGAACTCTGCCCACGCGCTTATCATACCGACTGTCACAATCCTGTTATGCCAAAAGTGAGTGATGCTTATTGCACGTTCACCGAAACGCGATTGTCGTAAATCATTTCCATTTTATCCTGCGTAGGATAATATCGTGTGAAATCATGTAGCCGGGTTCCATTGGCTAACGCTGGATTATGGTTTCAGATGCCAAGGGGTAAATGGTATTGTTCAAATTGCCACAGTAAACAACCAAAGAAGAGGAATAGTAGTCGAAGGAGTCATACCAAAGGGGGAGGCACCAGAGAAAGTGAAAGTTCAGATCATCCACCAGCTAGGTGATTACGTTAAAACCAAACAAACATTGTCGACTCGCTGGCTTGACAACGTTGTTTCATTACGAATGTACAAGCAGACGGAACAGAACACAAATACAGACACACACTGGACACAGAGCTGATCAGGCTTGAAAACCTCACGATACACCAAGTAGAACTACTCGACAAACGAACAATGGTGAACTTGAATTATTTCGGTATCGAGTACGAACAAAAAGTACAGTTAGAGAAAAAAAACGGTATCGAAACGAACGAACGAATACACACGCAAAACACACACAGTATATATATATGCGATTCTACTACCGACTTCTATATAATTTTATGTACATATGCATATATAGATATATCCTCGGCCCGTGTCGTACACTCGTCGAAGAGAAAATTGTTGTTGTATGGAAGTATTTATATACCGTATACAGGGTGTTCCACGACAGGTGTTAGCTGTAATAACGCTTCTACGTAAAAAAGAGAGAGAGAGAGTGTGTGTGAGACACATCACCGATATAAAATAGAGAACTAGGCTTTTTCCCCCCGTCGTTTCCTCTGAACGCGCCCTGTGAACTATAGAACTATATCTCGTGTGTCAGGTCCCTTCGTAGGGACACCCTGTACCCCCGTGCAGCGTGTTGCTTAACGATCATCGGACTATGGGATGGGTAGTTTCTCAGAGAAATTCGTCGTAACGGTGTAGAGCTGGCCTTCGGCTTCTATGAGTTGCTCGAAAATGACTAGGGGACGAACACGGCGAGAAGTGTGCGAGAGGCGGAATAGAAAAAACCTAAATAAATAAATAAATAAATAAATAAATATAAAAAAACATGGCGAGACAAAGTAAAACACAGTAGAGACGAGAGACGAAAGAGTCAGAGAGACGAGATAACGGCTCCATCGAGAAACAACGTACCCGTCTCAAGCGGACAAAAAGTACATATATAGAAAGTAAAAGTGTAACAAAAAACAAAAAAGTAAAAACCAAAAAAAAAATATAAAAAAACAAACGTAAAACACGCTCGAGTCTTAGCGCATTCGTCCAGAAGCTTTTGTGAATCGAAAAAAAACGGATAAACAAACAAACAAAAAACCTCCTGCGAAAGAGAAAGCTAAGCTACACGGTGCAAATAATTTCTCTGTTGTTTTGCGTCGCAGTCCAACGCCGTCAACGGCATCGAACACGCACGTAGAGGACGTCAGTTCATCGGAACCGGCAACCCCTACCGCGTCGCCACGGAAGGAGGGGAACAATAGGACGCTCACGAAGAAACAGCAACGAGAGTTGGCTCCGTGTAAGGTGCTACTCGAACAGTTGGAGCAACAGGACGAGGCCTGGCCGTTCCTTTTGCCGGTGAACACCAAACAGTTCCCGACCTACAAGAAAATCATTAAAACGCCCATGGATCTCAGTACGATCAAGAAGAAATTGCAGGACTCCGTGTAAGTTGCACGCGTACCAACGACTACTACCCTAGTTAACTAAAAAAAAAACAAACTTCTTACTAAAAAAAAAATCTAAAAAAAGCAAAAAGTCCATTTATAAATAAGACCAAAAAAAAACACACACATACCACCCATCTCTAAGATCTCTAGCAAGCTCTCTAACTTGAATCCCGTCAGTCAGCTTCGATCGACAAAATAAAAATAAAAAAAAAAACGTAAAAAAACGGACCAAAATCCGACAAACATGTTCCAACGAGTGCTTCTCGATACAGGTACAAGTCTCGCGATGAGTTTTGCGCCGATGTCAGACAGATGTTCATCAACTGCGAGGTATTCAACGAGGACGACAGTCCCGTGGGCAAGGCGGGACACGGGATGCGCAGTTTCTTCGAAATGCGCTGGACCGAGATTACCGGCGCGCCACCTCCGCATCCACAAACACATAGCTGAGGCTCGGTTCGATCTCGCAACACCTGCAACAGTTTTGCCCACTTCTACTACTAGAAGGCTAGCCCTCCCCCCGTTCCTCCTCCTTCGACGAGAGAAGATCGTCGTCGTCGTCGTCCGGAAGTCGTCGAACACTGAGACTGAGAGGCGAGCAATCGACCAACCGACCAACCAACCAACCAATCAACCAACCAACCAACCAACCAACCGATCAACCTAATCAACCACCCCCGCGTTGATCGCCCTGTGTCGCCGGTCGGCCTCGTTCTAGCGGCCGACCCTAACGTTCCACGAGACCCCTAAACGCTGACTACCGTAGAGAGACCCCGTGCGAATCGTGCGAACACTCTGTGAGGGCTCGTCGTTAACGCGCGCGCGTCCAACTCGCCTCCTCCTACGAAAATACGCGTGAACGACGCACGCGTCGGCGGCGCTTCTCGCGTTTACTACCGCAGGTTCGATACTCGAGAAAATAGTCCTCCCTTATTGGCGAAGCATCCCTTCTTAAACGGCTGGCACCTTCCCGTAGCGAACGACGAAAGACAGAGAGAGAGAGAGAAAGAGAGAGAGAGAGAGGCGGATCCCTTTCCTTCGTTCGAATTCCTGACTCGTCGAGGTGCGGCTTCCGCCGAGCGAAAAAAAGTTCTGTATTTAAAACGAAGCTAGGGATCGTTTCCAAGTTAGGAGCGTTTTCGAAGCCGAGGAGAGCTTCACGGAGAAAAAAGAGACTCTCTCGAGAAAAATTCCGTAGAATTCCGTTTTACGGAGGCTAAGACACCCGCGACTTCCGGCCTGCGGGGGAAACCCTACGTCTGCCGGAAGCCGGAGAAATTGAAACACAAAAGTGTCGGATGGAAAACACGACGATGGTCACTGTACTTACCCGAGTTTAAGAATTTTTGCCTAAGCGAACGAAAGAGAAACGGAGAGAAAGAAAGAAAGAGAGAGAGAGAGAGAGAAAGAGCGAGAGAGAGAGAGAGATTGAGAAAGAGAGAGAAAGAAAGCGCGCGAGAGAGAATTGTGTAATTTGCGAATTGTATCATACAGGCTTAGCGCCGAGCCCGGTTTCGGCAAAAGAAATATTTTGCAAAGTAATGAATGTGAAAAGATACAGAGAAGAGACGTATATAAATCTCTATATATATATAAATCTCTCTCTCTATATATATGTATAAATAATGAATATAGTGTACATGTATACTATATAGATAGTCACGTCACACGGAAACATTTTGCAACACTCTCACCACCCACACGTTTCAAACACCTGTTTGCCCGCGCGCGATCGAATCAGCACGAGACAAAGGGGTAACATTCTAATGCTACAGAGCAAGATACAATAGAGACCGAGTCAGTCAGTCAAAGTCAGTCAATCAGTCAGTCAGCAGTCAGTCAGTCAGTCAGTCAGCAGTCAGTCAGTCAGTCAGTAAGCAGTCAGTCAGTCAAGTCGAGTCAAGTCAGTCAGTCAGTCGAGTCAAGTCAGTCTTTGTCGATCGAGGACCGATATTTCAAATGCCATTCCAGGGAGATCTTTCATACGATTTTATCATTTCTTTTCGTTCGATTCGCTTTCTCGTACACTAGAGTCACGGTTGAAAACGGAAATGATGGGACGTGACGATTCGCTGGTTCTTGGCGAAAATGGAACGAGAAGTAGACAACGGATTCGAACGTTCTCGCGAAATTCACGTTCGCCGTGATCGTTGCACGTACACTGCAAAAGTTCGAATGCGTGCGTTGTCCCGAGTCATTGTTTTTATTCAATTCACTGCCGAAAAAATAAAAAGGAAAAGAAGAAGAAGAAGCCTTCCGATCATTAAACGAGAACGAATCCGTAGACTAACTAGGGCGTGAAAATTCCATGGGAAAAATAGTGTAGCAGCATTTCGTTACCTTCGACGATCGCGAAACACTTCCAACGAAACCTATTCTCTCCGCGTTAAAAGACAAAGCAATACTATTCGGGGGGGGGGGGGGAGTTCG